CTTGCTGTCTTTGGCCCTTTCCTGGTTTCCAGGCCGCCCTCACCCAGGGCGTTCTCCCAGCCTGGGTCGAGCTAGGACGGAACCACATCCAGCTTACAAGCAAGTTCCAGTAACCCATTCTAGTGGGGGACACCTGGCTGGCCTCTCCCCGCCCTGCACGGATACTTTCTTTTCCTGAGGACTAGGACATCTGCCTCTCCCAGGGCGCACTTTACCCACAGGGTTGCGATTCCCGTTCAGGAGCAGGGTCTCAGCTAAAGCCCCCTTTCTGCAAAGCAGAAAGAACAACGGTGAACGTGGTCTCAGCCCAAGGCTGGCAGAAAGCCCGGCTCGTGCGGAGCGCCCGGCTGACACGCGGCTACACCACAAGGCCCGAGCTTTGCTCAGCGAACAGTGAGGCCGGGGGGTCTTATTTCTATCACCCCCTGGATAATTGAGTGGCTTCTGGGTTCAAGAACTCATAACCTTAAAAAAAAAAAAAAAAAGGATAAAATACACTTTCTCACAGGTCCATGCCAAGCAGCCGGGCAGGTGACTGGGACAAATCACCCTCTCAGCACAGTTCCCGTCTACACAGCCTTGGGGAAGGGCATTTCTGGACAAAGGTCACATGGGAAAGAAAACAGCACCAACACATTAGCTTATGTCGCAGGGAAACCAAGTTCTTTTTCTTCCTTCCCCGCCTCGCCACACACTTGTTATCTGCAGAGACCAGATCATGAAGAAGTGCCGCCTGGAGGTAGATGGCAGCAACACGGCAAGACCCCCCGGGAGCTTTCAGAGCTTCAGTGTTCGTCCAAAAGCAAAAAACACCAAATGGCTGGGGTGAGGGGTGCGCACGACAGGTCACTACCAGCCTACCTTGTTACGTCGCTGAGGTCGCTTGTCCCTGGGACCAAGTCCAGCATGCAGCGCCGCAAATGCCCCCCGTGTCTGTTGGAGGAGCTGAGCTGGGGGCTCCAAGGCCTTCTGAGGGCACCGTCGGGGCTGCTGTCCCCAGGAGCCAGCGAGCCTGGGGTTTTGGCCCCGCCGTGAGTGACCCGGCACCAGGCCTCAAGAGCCAGAGCCTCGGAGCTTCTCTGCACTGCTCTTCTCGTCTATCTGATGGCTGTTCTACTCGGAATTCTCTTGATTTTCTGGACCTGACAGCCGACGGCAGCTTCGCAGAGAGCGTCACAGCAAGGGGCCCATGGTGAGGACGGCATCCGCGCTTCCGTAACGGCCAGGCGCGGGCCTTGCAAGAGTAAAACCTCCTCACTGGAAGCGCAAGCATGTCCGTGAGGGCCGGGAGCCGGGTAAGGACAGCTAGACAGGTCAGTCCGGTGCAGCTGCCGCAGCTACCCCCCACTCAGAAGCAGAGGCCCCGGGAGAAGCCCGCCACTGTGCCCCCACCGGCCGCCCGGGGCCGTTCACTGGGCACCATCTTCCTGCACGGACTGGACGGGACAGCGCCGCGGGACAGAGGGGCTGGAAGTCTGCGAGCCCTCTGGTTTCCCCTCTCTGCTCTTGATGGAGAAAGAACGTGCTTTTCAAAAGCGTTCTTCTGAAAAAATAAGAAAGACATGCCAGCTAGAGGAAGACAAAGGGAGGTAGTGCATGCCGTGTTTTACAACTTGCGCTTCTCGGGCTGGCCCACTGCTGTTCTGCTTCCAAGTTCATCCTGCAGCACGAGGCGAAGCCAAGCAGTCCGAGCCCACTGAGCTGAAAAGCAGCTCCTCTATGTAATTCAGTTCCTAGATCTTCAAATGCTGTGAATTCTCTAGAAAGGTAACGGTCTCACTTTATAGCCAGGGAAATTACCAAAAGAAAGATCTTGGCTCTGCCACCTTCACTTACAGAAGGTAAAACACTTCACAGAGACAGATTTCTGTTGGAGTTAGACTAGATTTCTCTTCACAGCCCTGATTCTCACGAGGTGAGAAGGAGTGGGAGTTGCCAAGTGGTTGGCTACCAGACCCATCAGTCTGTTTAACTCTGGCTAAAAGCAGAGAATAATGGGCAAGCCACCAAGTTTCTCCCCCTTCGGCTCTGGCGTGAAGATCCTCGTGTAACACACACGCTGCGACTTCCAATTGCCACCCAGCAGCGGGCACCCACAGAGTGCTGGGAGCGCGCAGTCCGCACAAAGGCAAGATGAAAAATTAGGACTAAAAACTAAAGGTATTTCAGTTTTCCAGCTGGATCCCCACTCTGGCAAACTCTCTCAATGGTTCATTCCCCCCAATCTACCCCCCAAATCAGCTGATTAGAAAAACGTTCTTCCAATAAACCGATAAACGTAAGCTGAGCTCTCTTGTATCCATCATATTCTGCCAGTTCCTTAGAAATATGTGTCGAGGTGCAGAGGCTGCAGGAAAAAGCCCACACGCTGCAGGATGTGCCTCTAAGCAGTGCAGAGGGTCACCAGGGTCTACTTCTCTCCCCATTCTACGGGCAGGGGGGCCACGTAGGTGCCCTCAAAAGCCCGGCAGTGTTAGGATCGCTGATGAGGAAATACTTATCCTCAAAAATCAGCCTAAGCCCCTGGCTTGTTCCCTCGGACTGCCCTGGTTTGCATTCTGAGAGGAGACGTCTATAGTGATGCCCACTTCGGGCACAACAGGGTCAGACCATGATCATGCTGGCGGGGCCGAAGCTCTGCTGGGGGAAGAGCCGGCGCGGACAGTTACGGTAAGGGGCTGCCATGTTAAAGAGCAGTTCCTTCGAGGCGCGGAGACAGGGGCGCCCGCGGGGAGAATGCGGGCGGTGCTTGTATCTTAAACTTTCTCCTCCTAAATAATTCCCTAGTCAGCGTCAGCGGGAGTCTGGTCTACAATAGCCACTGTTTAGCAAACACTTGAAATTAAGTGAGGTCATCATGCCGATTCTAAATCTATCCAGACATTTAGTAATTAAGTCTCCGGGTCACAACACTTGGCCCCCCACCCCACCTCAGGAAAGCATCGTACTCATTAATGACCAGGCATGTTCCCAACAAGCCCCACGGACACACATGACAGTTAGTTGTGTGGGGCACAGTAAACCTGATCATAGCAGGAGAAGAGCATGGCTTTTAAATGGCATGATCATATAGGTCATTAGGCTGCCGGCTGCCTCTGGTAATGCGGACTGTGGATTACAGTACTGAGACAAGGTCCCCATTTATGGCGAACAAAGACCTGTACGTTTTAATGCAAATCTAAGGACCATCCCTGTTCTAAGTTTAGAGAAGACTATTTGAATGAGTCTCAAAACTAGTAAAACAAATAATCTAGTACCCAACGTCTGAAGCCCTTTGTAGTTATCTTTTTTTTTGCTAACTTGAAAAAAATAACTTATTTATATATCAAATAGAGTTGAGTGTAAACGTGGATGTCAACCACCCTTTTAGTTTTATAAATCTGCTTTTAGCTTTCATTAAGAGGCAGATTTCCTTACCTACCATGATCCTAACCATGAGAAAATACCCTTCTTTAAAAAATTGTTACAAATATTTATTAAAAAGTGCAATTCATAAGTCAGCTGGGCAAGTACATCATTGCAAATCACAAAAAAGGGGGGAGGAAGCCCAAAGCAAATAAACAAAAAAACCCCAAGAAATACAGACAAAACATGAAAAAAAGGAAAAAAAAAAATAGAGTGTGCTGAGGAATGGGCCCCAACAGATGAGGAAACAGGAAGTCAAAGCTAGAGCTCTATCCAGACGTTGCTGCGCTTTCCAAGTGCAGAAGGTGGAGGGGGAGAGCGTGGCCCCTGCCGCAGGGCTCCGGGTCAGCTGCTGCTTCAACATTGGTGACGGCATCGGGGAGGTTATAAAAATAGCCTATAGACGCTGGGACGCTGGAGGTGTTTAAAAAATCGGAAGCTTGAAGTTTAGCATCTCAGCAGTTTCAGCTACTAAAACTCAAAGCATCCGTTCTTTAAATTTGGATTGGCTCAGTTATTTGACTGGATGATAAAAATACTGAGTTGTCATCTTAGGGGGAAAAAAAACCCCACCCAAGTTCACCTACCCATTCTTGCCATTACTCACAGGGTAAGAAAAGTTCGGTCCAGAACTAGTCTTTTTGGTCATTAGGGTTTCTGAGTGTTGCTATACTGCCAATGTACTAACGCCGCCCCCCCAACCAATGCAGAGTGCCACAGGAATGACCTAACCGGCCATGAGGCTGGCCCCGGATCCAGACCATCCAAGTGTGCGGCTAAGCTGCGCCATACAGGTAAGGGGCATCCTCAAAATACAAGGTGCACCAGGACAGCAACATGAATTTGGCAAGGCTCTGATCTCCCGCAACCTCACCCACCCTTCCCTCAGCTGTGCAAACCCTGGGTCCTGCTGCCCTCTCCTCCCTTCGGTTCAAGCCCCAGCTGTTAGCACCCCCAAAGCCTAGTGCTTTCTGTTATTTTTCATTAGTTATTTCTACCACAGAATAATGAGCCTGGAAAAGCAATTTTATCCCAGCACTTATCCCTGAAAACTGGATCACTGCGTTTTCTGTCACAAACTGCTTCTGGGCCTTGCGTCCCCATTAGCAACCAGCTCTTGGGGGGCCAAGGGCTGCTGCCACAATGGGAAATGAGACCTGCCCGGGAGCCTGCACTCCTGACCGCGCTCTCGGGGATGAGACAGCGGTGTGCTGTCTGAGCTGGGGGGGGGGGGGGGTGCGGGAAGAGCTGCCAAAGATGGATGGAATGAGCAATAGCAAGCGCTAGTAGAGTTTGCAAACTTTTCCGGATTCCTCAGAGGTTGTCCCGGGGGCCCGAGGCCCCGGAGGCAAAGCAGTGCCGAGCCGTCCTCAGAACAGGACAGGTGGCCCCGGGAGTGCACAGTCATCGCTTCCTCTTCCCAGCGGCCCTGCCAGCACCGGGTCAGAGCAGCTGTCTCAGTGGTGGGGTCACAAGGAGGGAAGTCAGTGCAGGCTGTGTTTTCCAGAAAGGAGTGTGAAGAGACGGCAACGTTGGGGTGCTGCTTCCCGCCTCCCCTGGGGTTCGTGAGCAGGAGGAGCCGCGCCGGGCCGCCGTCACAGCACTAAGAAGAAGACCAGCACGACCACCAGGACCACGAAGAGGATGGCGATGGCACACCACTGGCGCCGATCTGGAAGGCAGGACACAAGGGTCAGCGCTCACGACTCCACGCTCCCCAAGGTACAGTCACATGCAACATCCTGAAGCAGAGAGGGGACAGAATGTGCACACGACGGGCGCACAGAGGCTCTGGAGCCTGTCTGGGGGGTTGGGTATCCTGGCCTGCTCCGCGTGTGCATCCACAGTGCTGCCAGTCTCCTGAAAACAGGCCTCTAATAGTACTGCTTTGTGTCTCAAGCCTTTCATTAAAATCCGTGGCGCTCAGCTTGCTGCTGGTGAGTACCACGTCCCTGGAAAGGCGTTGGCAACGGCGTTACGGATCAAAGCTCGTTTGCTTTCATCTCCTACCGAAGTCAAATCATTTCATTCAACAACAATCAGTGAGCTCTATGGGAGGATGGAGAGAGGATAAAAGCGCCTGCTGGTCACTTCAAGAAACGAGGAGCTGAAAAAGCAAGCTCTGGGGACCAAGAGCACGATCAGCATGACCCCACTGAACCAGTAACTTACACAGCTTACCTGTAAAGGAAAGTGGAATGTCTTCTCTGAAACTTTCTGCACCCTACCGATACTTGAGGACAAGCACTGGAAGCGAAGTGGTTAGAGCCCATCCAAACGGCCGAGAGCAAGGGGACTCGAGGGGCAGGAGGGCCCACACAGGCCCCAGGGGAGACCTGGCTGCACCCACAACCCTGACCGCGGGCTCGTCACGCTGCACAGAGGCTGCCTGGCAGGGCTTTGTGAGCATGAACATGAATACCCTCGCACACTCTGGGCTGGGCCAGGCCAGGCATGGGGCCCAGGATGCCTCCTTAACTTGTGTAGGTGTAGAAAGAACACGCGGTCCTTCCATAGACGGGTCCTGCATTGTCCACAAAGGGTCAGACTGACAGAACAGAATTTCACTGGCCTATGAAAACGTAGTTCGACGGCCAGAAATGATCACTCCATTTAAACAGAAATATAAAGGTATACTGATTCATCAAAAGTTTATTGGAAAGCCTGCAGATTGTGGCATACCACAGCGATTGAGACTCACATTACGTAAAGGTCTGAATCTAGGAAAAGAGATTGCCAAACTTTCTACAAAGCAATGCTAAGTCCACAAACCAAGGACTTAAATTATTTAAATGTCATGGAAAGCACAATCTTAGAACCAGCCAACAGACAGCCACCAACGGACAGTAAGCAAAGCAAGTACCTTCTTAGTCGTGATCACCTTGTTCTACTTCCGACGTGCTAGAAACTCACTTAGTAAGTGTGATTAGGGCAAAGACCCCAAGTCTGTTGGTTCCTTATCTGAACAGGGACTAGTCCAATGAGCATGGGAGGCAGAATTGGCCTATCAGATAATAATCTGTTTATTGCTTCACTGGCCAAGAAAACTTGAGTATCTAGCATTTTTCATCTACTTAAAAATGTTTACGATAATTTAAAAACACTCTCATTAAAATGATTAATCAATATTCTTCCAGGACAAAACAGTCAAGGTAATTGCTTCCTAACCACCCCCACCCCCCAACTTCATACAGATCCCTGCCCCTCCCCCCATCCTGCCATTCTCAAACCCAGATTCCCAATATTGAACCGGTTTTCTATTTTTTGGCTTTCCACCAGCCTCTACCCAATCCCCTCCCACCTCCAATCACTCCCTCTTTCCCAACTGCATTAAACAGGGAATTTTCATCGAGAAGTTGGGTCACACAAGCCAGCACAACCCAGGACCGCTCTTTTAAAGCCATCTTCCTCTGCAGTGCTAAGCTGATGCTTCGAAGCAGGAACCAGGTAAGCTCTGGGAGCTGTTACCCCAGCTGACTTCTCCCCAGAAGCGGTGAGTACCAACCACAAAGGCTTCTGTGCTCTCAAGTGAAAAGCCTAACCAGCTTGGCAAGGTCAAGACCTGTTTCAAAAAGTCAGACAGGAACAAAGAGAACTCCAATGGCAAGTTTTTTCCCCCTTCCAGTATATTTTTCTTACCTAAAGAGAAAAGAACAACAACAGAATTTTGGAAAGTGAGGGGAAGAAAACCTCTGTTATCTACTCAAAAGAATATACTTCCCTTGGGTCACTCGAAAAGGCGGGTGTGGCATCCTGGCTGATCTCCGTGGAGCAGCCAGCCGCGGGGAGGGCAGGTGTCCTGTGCCTGCTCACTGACTGCCTCATTGAACTTCAGTGTGTCTTAATATACTTTAGGTAGAGACTGAAAGGTAGTGAACTTGCCCAAAAGTTATGGAGGTGAACGGAGACAAATACAAACTGCCTTGTTGTCAAACTGAAGCCAGCACCCCCGTGCGGGAGGCCCTGAGAGAGCTTTCTTTTGGGAGCGAGCAAAGATTAAAATGAAAACCCCAGGCAAGCTGTCCAAACTGAAGGGTCTTTCAGGCTGAATGCTCTGTTTCCTGGCTCTTTTTCTTAGACAAACATAACTGAAGTCCCCCCTTTGCTCCCCAAACTTTTCTTTCAGGATAAAGTAGAATAAAGCATAAGCAAGGCTCAGTGCTATTTATACACTGAACGGCTTATCACAATGCAAGTACTTTTCTAAATTATTCATACCCGGAATGCTGAGAAACAAAGACACAGTGCATCTTTGTTCTTTGCTCTTCCCCAAACAAAACTGGTGCTGAAGTAGCTACTTGACTTTGTGACTAATACATACACTAGTGAGAGGCCTGGTGTTTCAACTTGTTATATAATACTTCATTAATTTTTTTTTTTTTTTTTAAAGTAGAGGGGTGAAGGTGGGAGAGGAGAGAACACAGAGGAATAAGGAAGGTGGCTTTGCAAACCTTTCTCTGAAGTGTGTGAAAGATGAACTAAGCTGGTGCCTGCTTTCGGCAATGACTTGTTAGGAGCATAAAGGTATTTGTCCCTGGAGAGAAAGAAGGAAGTCTGGCTATGAGCTTCCCTCTGTTTTGGATCTAACAGGTCCTTTGCCCCGTAGGGCCATATTCTGCCTGTCTTACTACTTTTTTAAAACATAAACAGTAAGTACTAATATATGGGAGACACTGTTAAACACCTGTACATTAATTACTATTATTTCATTTAATCTTCACAATGATCTTGAAAGGAAGGCATCAACCTATTTTTTTACAGATAAGAAGTTGAGCCCCAGACAACTGTTCTATAACTTGACTGTGAGTTGAAGTGCTGGAAAGTAAATATACATTTGTATTTAAGTCTCAGCTCAAAAGTCCGAACTATTAGACCCCATAACACAGACCTATGGGAGGAAACTCAAAGAATGACGTGTCAAGAAAGAGGGGAAGTTCCAGTGGGGGAGCTGGGTGCTCTGGTTCAAGGACATCTACATCACCTCAAGGAGCAGCTCAGGTCCTCCCTTCACCAAGCTGTCCCCACCAACTAAAGAAAAAAGGAGATACTGGATTTTCTTTGATTTAAAAAAATACTATTTCTGGGACGCCTGGGTGGCTCAGTTGGTTTAGCATCTGCCTTTGGCTCAGGTCATGATCTCAGGGTCCTGGGATTGAGCCCCACGTCGGGCTTCCTGCCCAGTGGGGAGCCTGCTTCTCCCTCTGCTTCTCCCCCCGCTCATGCTTTCTCGCTCACTCTCTCAAATAAATAAAATCTTTAAAAAAGAATAAAATAAAACATTATTTCTAATGTACCAGGGGAGGTGGGCTGTTGCAATAAAAACAAATAGAGTCATTGGAACATATCTTCCTATACAATGACGGATTTGAAAACTGTTACTTCTTCATCCCCATCCTGATGCAAACCTGCTGGAGTATTTCACCATGGATTTAAATGAAAACCATTTAAATTAGACCTGTAAGGCCATCTTATTCTGAAATGGTAGGAGTTTCTCAATAAAACAAAGTCAGTCCAGGAGAAACAGTAACTGGCTTCTTAATTACTGTTTTATAATAAGTTCCCTATTTTGGCAAGGAAACAGGAAAAATAAAATTAAGTAAGAAAGGATTTTCTAATTGCAAAGAGAGTTGATCTGCCAGGAGATAAGCCACCCAACACCACCAGCCTTGTGCGGTGGGGGAACACAAAGACCACTTCTCAAGTGAAGGCCACAAACGACAGACAAGGCCTGTGCATACTAGTCTTCCTTCTCTGACCGGAAAGCAGGAGAGATCTGAAGGGGCACGCCTATGAGAATCCTATAGACTGTGTTTCTAGAATTAAGTAGGAATTCTTAAGCTTTAAATACCATACATACCACTGGTCATGTGAGATACTTTTGCAAGTTTCTTCATCACATTGTCTAGCCGAGACTGAGTGCTCTCCAACTCATGAGAAAAATCATCCAACATACTAGAAAGAGAAGCAGACACAGAAGGGTAGCTGGTCAGCACAAAGGCTTGGCAATCCGTTAGCCATGGAATTAAAAGAGGATCTACACCTCCATTTTAGCAAACCTAAAACCGATAATTTTGCGATTCAAGTCCCCAATCTATTATCCAAAATCCTTAGCACAAGGTATGTTTTTGATTTCAGAATTTTGGGGAATTTTAAAGAAGTACTAAGTTACATGTGCTATATATTAGCCAACACCCTCAAGCAGGGTCCAGGGCAGACCTCATAATCAAACATGGTAATATTTCTGCAGAGAAAACTATAAGGAATCACTGCTGCAGTCAGTTCAGGTCAGGTTTTTTGTAGTAGGAACTTCCTGAAAACTTTTTTTAAAAGATTATTTTAGCACTTTCTAGACTTTAGAATTGTAGACCAGGCAGTGTGGACCTGACTATATAGTAACACAAATCTCAGGGGCAGTGCAGCACACGTGGAGGAGGCTAAGCAAAGCCCAACAACCAGGCTTTTCCACTTGCTTCCCTTGTTACCTTGACAAGGCACCCCACTTTGGCACTGTTTCCACGTCTGTAAAATGGGGTAGCTTCCCTGCCAGGGTCTTGTGAGCACCAGGTCATAACACAAAGCGCTTTATGGCCAACAGGAGTTAAACACGCTTAATCGCATGATCATCTCCTTTAACGTGCTCTGTGCTTTGTCATAGAGCTGGGAGGCCCTGGGACTGACACTCCTGACCGTGTGCACTCCTGGTCTACACGTGTACCACAGAGAAGTCAGTGTTTGCCCGCTAAGAGAAGCGGCTCCAGGAAGCGAATAGTATTTGCTGTCCACAGTGCAGCTGGGAAAGAAAACACCAAAATGCTCTTATTCTAGCAGTGTTTATTTCATAAATGACTAAACATACCAGACTTTTCAACTTGGGGTTAACATATGATTATCCTGAAGAGTGGTACCTAACATACAGCATCAATGGAAGCTAGAAACGACTGGGCTTGGTCTGTGCCCCTGTGAGGCACCTGAGTGCCTGCAGGACTCGGGGCAACCAACTCCTCATTAAGTCAATTATTAAACTCCATGTTGACAACTAAATAAACAGATCTTTGTCCCTTACCTGAAATTCCAAATTAACACACTATTAGCTCATCTAAGATCCTGGTAGCATCTTGGCCTGCAGCTGCAGACCTATCCAGGCAGGGCCAAATACTGAAAAACAAGAGCCACCTTTGTATGCTGGGCATGACTTTTCCTACTGAGGACAAAAAGGCCAGTCACTCAACCTCCAGCCCAAGGACACCCACTAAACTAGGTTTCTAGCCCAGAGCTAGCTGATTCGGCACTGTCCAAAAGAAACAGACTGCAAGTCCGATATGCTACTTAATATTTGCTAGTAGCCACATTTAAAGCAGAAAGATGAAATTAATTTTAATAATCTGTTTTATTTGGCCTAATATATCCCAAATATTATCATTCCAACATGTAACTAATATTAAAAAAAATCACTCACAAGCTACTTTACATTTTTTTTCATAGGAAGTCTTCAAAATCTGGTGTGCATTTATACTGAGGGCGCATCTCCGTTCAGACTGACCACATTTTATGTATTCACTGGCCACAGCTGCCAGTGACCACCGATGCTGGAGAACACAGGCCGAAGTCCAAGACCCAGGGGCTTTCCTTTTAATTTACTTATTATTTTTACCAAAGTGAGACACAGTTTAAAGAGCTAAATAGCACGTTCAGGCTCTTTATAAAAAACCACGGCTGTTTCCCGTCCCCTTGGACAAGTGCTGCCACCCCCTCCCACTAGTCCCTGGGTGCTTTCTCCGTGTGTTCAAGGAGCATGCTCACACCAGAATCCTGTCCTACTGACTCCACTCTAAAAAGGCTAGGGCTTAGCTCTGCTCCCACCTCCCTCCCCATCCCGGCATCCATCCCACTACTCAGCCCCCTTCCTTCCAGTATGACTGTGTCACAACGTGATGAGCGCGCCCTTCAGGGCTCACACTATCAAGAGTGATTGCTCTCCTGGGCTGGTGGCTCGCGGTGGGAACTGTGTTTGCTCCGTGGCGCCCCCTGTGGCCGGCGGAGGATTCAGCTTTCTCTGGTCTGTTGAGTCAGTAGCCATTCATTTTCCTACTTTCCAGGACCTATAATGTTATGGTTACTGTTTGTTATTTCATGTTCTATGTCCCCATAGGTCTTATGCCAGTTTTATAAAAAGATCCCTCTGCTGGTGCCCTAGTGGGCTCTAGGGAAGGAGCGACATAAAGGGTATGTTCGGTGTGTTCAAGTTACCATCTTTAACTGAAGTCTGCCAGGCTTCTCTATCATCTACTGAACCCCAGGGAGTCAGGCAATTAGTCCTTTTCCATCCGCCAATTGAAATTTTAGGGGAAGAATGCATTTTAGACAGAAATTCAACACGCATGCCTAGATTCCTGCTCTTCCAGCTTCCCCCTGGTCTTCTTGCCTTCAATCTGACTCCATTATTGTTTGTCATCTAAACCACAGCTAGATGGGTCTGCCCCAAATGTAAACCTGTCCATGGTATTACTCCCAACAAAACCTTCGTGGTTTCCCATCACCCTCAGGAGAGAAAGTCCTAACCCCTTAATGGGGCGTCAAAGGCCTCCCCGCTCTGTTCTTGGCCTCCGTCTTGCCTTCTGCAACCCCCCCCACCCCCATGCTCTACACAAACGAGACCTTTCTGTCCCATGCACACCCTCACACTCTCTCTAAAACCCCAGTCGACCCTCCCCTCACCCTCACCCCTCCGCCGGGTCACCTTCCCCTCATCCTTCAGGTTCCAGTTCCACACATCTTCTCAGGGACCTGGGCTAAGTCAGGTCTGCAGCTTGAGTGGAGCGAGGGCTCTCAAGGCACCACACTCTTCCCCCTTACGTCTCTGCACTTCTTAATGACTTGCATGTAGAACGTCTGTTCTAGGCAGTAACTGGTAAACTCTCTGATGGCAGAGATGCAGTCTGTTTGCTCCTCTATGGGTACCCGGGACCTCCCAGCAGAACAGATACCCAGTTGGAATTTCTGAAGAATGAATGTATAAGACTGAACTCAAGACTGAGATAGGAGAGGTTCTGAAATATCCTAGTGGATAGTCTTATTTTTTCAGAAAGAAATTTGTGAAATGAAAGCATTTAAGAATGATGCTTTTGGCGTCCTACTTCTGAGCACAAAAGGAGACTACTGAAGGAAAAAATAAATAAACCCAGTTATGTTTTCGTTTGCTTTGTTTTTACTTTGTATTTTTGAGAGGGAAGATTTTTGATTAATTGAAGTCAAATTTATAAACTTTCTTCATTAAGTTAAAGTTAAAGATGCAGAGCAAGAAGTTCTGTTCGATGGAGCAGGAGAGTCAGGGGATGACAGAGGGAAGTCAGCTCATGTCCTACCCTCTCCGGGACCCAGATCTCCAAGGAGGTTACACAGCCACATCTGTCTCATGTTCCCATTCGTCACAACACTCTTGAGAATCCGCTCAGAGGAATCTCTATCTGTTTTTGGAGGGTGCAAAAATAATCATGATGATAACTCTGCCCAAACCCCGTTGAAAATTTTATCTGATCAATGTGCTTCTTTGGGGGAGGCAGAATAAAGATGCAGCTACACAAGTAAAACGGCTTTTGGGTTTACTAGCCATGTAACTGTCAGGCTTTTCAGGGGTCTCATAAGATGGCTTTGCCCCTCAATTTCACTGCAGCAAGAGGGGCGTGTCAGTACTCACACCGCCTGTTCCTCTAGCTCCCCTCCGATGCGCTGGGACATGTTCTTCAGCACCCCAATGCTGCCAGAGACCAGCTCCAACTGCTCATCCTGCTGTTCCACGATCAACTGGTGCCAGAGAAATGGGAAATAAGCAATTAAACTCCATCTTACCTGGTTCCAAGCCCAGTACTCTAGCAGCTGCTAGCTTCTTTGCCAACTTGGGACCATTCTCATTCAGAAGCAAAGCCCAGAAATCGAAGGACCAGACCATTGCCTCTGAGAACACGCTGCTCAAAAGGCTGGGTTGACAAGCTACTGATACTTCCTGCCGATCCAACTTGTGAACAGTCAGCAGGCCTGGAAACCACCAAGAGCGATTTACTCTGGTTGGCTCAAGTCCGACGAGGGAACAAGCCAGGGTCAAAAGCACCTGTGTGGTGACCACTGAGACATGGGATGTTGGGGAAGAGGAAGCCCACCGCCAGGGTCAAGGTCTCAATCCACAACAGACTGTCTCAGCCTGACTCCAAGAGAGAGGCCGACAAATATGTGAATGTGGGAAAACTGCATACAGAGTCCTTTCCTTCCTCTTCAAGGACAAACTAGAGGAGGCCCTGTGGCTATAAGCTGCTTCAAGGACAACTACTGAGTGATAAATAATTAGTTTTAATTGTGGTGTAGCCTCCTCATTTTTTATTAAGAAAAAAAGGTTTGCTTGATTAATAGCAATTTAAGTAGACAACTGGTTAAACAGACACGCTAATGGAAAAAGAACAAACCTACGTGTATACGTAAAACATAATATTTAAGAACCAATAGTTTCAATGGATAGATAATCCTCAAATCCCCAGATACATCATTAGCTTCCTTTTTAAAATACAACACATATCAAAAGCCACGATGTAATCATAATCAACCTCACTTTCCTTCTACCCTAGAACCTCCACCAAAGCAATCATTTTTACATATAATGGAACCAGCAATAATTTGCAATGAAGAAACAAGGACTCAGTTTTTCTGAAAGTGCCTTTGTTGAAATGAACAAAAAACTGAGCATACAAGTGGAGGCGGGGGAAGAGGTTGCTGGGGTGTTTTTTTTTTTTGTAAATCAATGGCCTTGTCTGTCAGTTTTGGATGTCTGGTCTGCTTTTCCTAAGAGATCTAATCAAGCTTGGCTCTCCCGAAAAGGTCGAGCTCTGAAGGAGGTTTTAAAAACCCTTCATCTACACAATGGTTGCACACACAGACAGGCAGCCGCGGGGCGAGCTCTGGTCCCCGAGGGGCTGTCACTGGTCACAGCGCCCCCTGGCGGCAGGGGAACGTAGGGAGGTGCCCCACCTCCCTCCCTCGGCTGCTTCTCGGGTACCTGCTGCTGAGCCTGCTGCTCCTCAATGAAATGGGAGTTGGCCAGCTGGAGCTCGCGGTCCAGGCGCCCGGATGTGTCCATCTTTCCCGCGCTCCAGTTCTGGCCACCACTGTCCCCTAGGAGTGCCTGCGAGAGGGGGGCGGGGGGAACCAGCCGTTACCATCTGAACAAATGCTCCAGCACAGGGACAGAAAGAGTCCACAGACTGCTCACAGTGCATTTCCCGCCAGCTCAGCCTTTTGCGTAGTGGTGTAGGTTGGTGCCTGTGTGGCATGATTTCAGGAATGCCAGGAAGGGCACCCACTGCCTCCAAGCTCTCCCAACGGGACTCAGAAATGGGCTCTGTCCCATTAAAATACAGATAAAGGTCAACTTTAAATCAACAAACGCCCATCTGTACACTGCTTTACAATCTAGAAGCACTTGGTCTTCAGGCCAGCTGTTCCTAGCACCCTCGCAAGTTCATCAGAGACCCATAGGCTCCAATCTGATTCCACAGACCTAGAGTCCCTTTTTATTCACGTATGAGCCAGGAAAATTTCTGGGTTTCTTCGGAAGGAGGCGGGGAGAGCTCCCTGGAATGACAACGAGCCAAGTCACAGCCCCTCATGTACAGAAGGCACGAGACCCACCAAAGTCTGTTCAATTGAATCCATGAGTAAATCCCAGTGTCCTTCGGTTGAACTAAAAGGCTACCGGCATCCCAAATAGGAACCGGGGGTTGCTTCAGAGGCAGGCATGGTCACAAGTGAGCGCCTGACCCTCATAACCCAGGCAAGTGCTGGTCCCGAAGTCAGAGCTCTTCCCCAGGGTCAGGTTTCCCAATATGAATTCAAGGAAGTTTGCAGCCAGAACAGGATAAGTCTGGAAAAAGGATAAGTCTCCCTTCCGTGAAGAGGCCGGCCAGGAATGTGAGAGCTCATTCTCGGTAGCAGGCTCTGACCAGGAGCCCCACGAGCCCATCTGACTAGTTGGTCAGAGTTACCGCTCCCACCAGTCCTGCACAAAGAACCAGAAGATGCTGCTAAGATTCTTCTTCCTTGTGGAGGTGCCAGATCTTACTAGGTACTTTTTATCTCCGGAACTGTTAAAAGCCTCACGGGTTACTTGGTTTTCTGTCTGCAAAGCCCTTCAATAGCCCCTTGATACTGACACGGACCTCCTAGCCTGACGTTCGAAGGTGACTTCAGTCAAATGGCCACACTTCAGGGACGGGGCTCGGAGAAGCTCAGGACACAGAGCCTAAGTTCTGAGGGAGTTAGGAGAGCTGCCAGCAGCCCAGGGCCTCAGTCCAGCCAAGAAGCCGGATGGGGACTGTCTCCGGCATAAAGCACACCCAAGGCCTTCTGTAGATGGCTCTGCCCAACCTGATCCTAGGGCTGTCAAGTTTAGAAGATCCTGCTCATTCCGAGGCAGAGACTCTAAGAATCTCTGTGGAGGACACTGAGGCCTAGTGACAATGTTTTCAAGGTCAGAAAGAGTCGACACAGAGTGCATCATTAGGCTACCGACAGAGAACTGGGGGCTCCACCAGCCTCGTGCACTCCTGGGATCATAGTCGGGGCTATTTTTTTTTAGTCTCTTCATGGTCTGCACTTAGATGGACATATGTCACGCCGTTAAGAGTTGTCTATGCTTTATTGTGAAGCAGATTAGATGTCATTAGTCTGACTTCTAGGAATCTATCTTCACGGGAACGAAGATGGAGAGGGCCCAGAGCACTGGAAGACCAGCCTGGGCGCAGGTGCTGGAGCGGGGAGGTCCTGGCTGAGCAGGCTGGAGCACAGCACCTGGTCCTGGCACGAAGCAGTGAGGCAGACTGGGCCTGCTCGAGTATGAGAGAAAACTGGTCCTGCCATTCCCTGAGAATTTGTGACTCTAGGACATTTCACTCCACGCCAAAAACAAAGTCCCAAGCCAAACTTGGAGAGGCAATGTGTAAGTACACGTTTTATTTATGGTAGTTCAACTTTTACTCTCTAGAGAATAAAGCAATTCAAGTTTGGCAGAACGGAGGCGCAGTGTTCCCCATCTCACTGTCACAACTGCTTTGGGTACCGTTCCTCAACTTCTGTAAGTTCAAGTGTAGACAAAAAGGGAACTCTCAAACTGTGAGCCTTTGGCCATGCCCTAGAGCTCCTTTCAAGAGTTAGTGCCAGATGGGCTGGATTAGCGCCTGGCGGTTCCCCACTGCACTATTAAGAGGAAGGGAGGGAGACAGGAAGAAAAAGCCACAACAGTGACTTGAAGAATGAAATGCAGGGAAAGGCAACAGGAAAATTAGGCAGGTGATATCTGGAGAGCCCCTCCCTTTCTTTGAACTCTTAACTTGTTTTCAAATGTCATGGGTCAACAAATACCCACAGGTCTAAAGTAAGAATGTAACCGATTCCTAGTTAATGATGATGAGCTGTTTCTTACCGGTCTACTAAACGGACGATCAGTAACTTGATGGAGACTGAATAGAATTGAAGTGAAATCTAAATTTTAGGCGACTGTTGTATATTTCTTAGAACGATTTTATCAGTCAGAAGGGAATTTCTATCAAATGTGTCTAATTTTAAAAAGATACTTAAGTCTGGGTAGCTCACTCTGTTGAGCACCTGACTCTTGGTTTCGGCTCAGGTCATGATCTCAGGTTGTGAGATGGAGCCCTGCTCAGCAGGGAGTCTGCTTGAGATTCTCTCCCTCTACCCCTCCCCCTACTTGCACATACATGTGCTCGCTCGCCCTCTCTCCAGTAAATAAATAAGTCTTTGGGGGGAAAAAAAAAAGATACGGGGCGCCTGGGTGGCTCAGTTGGTTAAGCCGCTGCCTTCGGCTCAGGTCATGATCTCAGGGTCCTGGGATTGAGCCCCATGTCAGGCTCCCTACTCAGCAGGGAATCTGCTTCTCCCTTTCCCTCTGCCCCTCCCCCCTGCTCATGCTCTCTCTCTCTCTCTCTTAAATAAATAACATCTTTTAAAAAAAATTTAAAAATTAATTAAAAAAAGATACTTAAATTCAAGGGCTGGTCTCCTGTAGGTTTTATTTTTGATATGTCATTATCTGTACTGGGGTTTTTGAAATCAGGTTTCATAATTTATCTGTAATAACTAATAAAAACTGGACCTCATATCAAAAAAATACTTAAAACAATGAAAGATTTAATTTAACACATTTAAGTTTCCTCCAATGTCTTTACATAAAATTTCACTCGTTAGATGTCTAGTAAGTTCTATGGGCAATAGAATAGCAGCTAGAGATTTAAAAACAGCTCATGACATAATTGCTCTTCGCTTTCAAGGAGCTTGGGGTCCAGCAGAGAAAGCAGAGAAAAAGACAGGAGACAAAGCAACCACAGCACTTCCCAGAGCACGTGGGCAGCACAGGCAGAGTGAATGGCTGTGTGTAAGGCCTACGGGGACAAGCAGAGGGAGAGCTACAGGGGCCCAGAGGAGAGAAGCAGAGGGTGTGAGGGAGGGAGGGACAGAGGACCGTGGCACTGGGGCAAGCTGACCTTTCACAACACCTGCCAGCCTCACGCCAGGCTCAGCACATACAAGTCTTCTGCGTGAACACACGATACACCCACGTCAGCAGTTTTTAATTCCAAATATCTAACCATGCTATTTTCTTTGATTGATACTGTGTGTTCAGATGTTTACTCACCTGTCTGTTTTTTCGTTCCGCTAATGCCTGCACAGATGAAGCTGACATCTGATCCTTCATGTCCTAATGAGATGAGCAGAAGACCAGAAAATGAATGAAAACAAAATCACAGCTAACATTTTACAGGCTAACAAAATACACACAGATTATTATGAAATTTTTTATTATGAATTTTTTTTAAACAAAAAGACAGCATTCTTTAGCTTGTAAGTCTCAAAAACAAAGGAAATAAAATAGAGAGACTCACATTCCCTTAAAAGGGAGTAACCTGGACACTGAATTCAAACAGGAAGAAAGAGGAAGGGAACTCGTATTTCCTGGGTACCTACCAGAGACCGCAACACCGTGGTACACTTACACAAGGTATCACGGAATTTTCACAACGACCCTGTGAAGCTGCTATTATTTCCATTTTGCAGGTAAGAAGACTGAGACCTAAAAAGGCTAAGATACTTTCTTAAGGTCACACAGTCAGTAAATGGCAATCCTGGGGCACAAACACAGAAGTCTGTGCTCAAGGGCTAGCATCTTCAAACAGAATGCATGTGAAAAACCACACACTTTAGGATCAAGTCTGTTTACCATTAAACACCAGAGAACACTTTCTAGTATTCTTAATTTATTTTATTTCTGAGTTGGATTCATGTGTAGAATAGACTCCCCTCCCTCCTTCCCTTCCTTCCTTCCTCCCATAATCTCTACACCCAAGGTGGAGCTCAAACTCACAACCCCAAGATCAAAAGTCACATGCTCTACTGACTGAGCCAGCCAGGCGCCCCCCAGTATACACTATTTCTAACACAAGAGTGAATTTCTAGCACAGTACCAAAAATAATTTTGTATGGAAAGGAAAATGAATGGACCCATTACTTAACCCGAAGCAAAACATCATTAAATATGAACCCTTTCCCTTTTATTTAACCACAACCCAATATACTTTAAAATGATTTGAACTGAATACATGATTACTGTAATACAAATTTTCTTTGGAAAAAAAAAAAAGGCTGCCACAATACGTTATAATTTTCTGTTGGCAAGCAGGCTATTTTATAGATGCAAACGTTGAGGTATTAGGCTCTTAGAAACTTCTTCCAAGAGCCGTGACAGGTGAACAGCAGATCGGACAGTGCCACAGTTTTTGTCATTCCGACTGTGGTGAGTCTTAATAATAACCACCTTGCTCCAACTTTCCAAGTGCCCATTTTACGTTTGGCAAATGCTCCCTAAAGCCTAATACGTGCCCACATAGAGCAGTGAGCAATACAGGCAAGGCCCCTGCCTGAGTGGAAAGGGTACTATGGTGAGGAAGGGGCAAACAGTAATCCCACAGACAGGTCAATAAGCTGATGACTGTGTTGGGAAGGAAGGGAATAAACAGGGCTGGAATTGAGTGGGTGAAGGACACCACTTTAGAAGGACGGGGTAACACTGGAATCGAGATCGGAAGGGCTGGAATGAGCCAGCCACAGAAAGAGCTAGAGGCTGAGAATTCCAGGCAAAGGGAACAGCAAGTACAAAAGCCTGGAGGCAAGAAAAAGCTCAGCGCCTTTAGCTACAGAGAAGGCAGGCCAGGGAGGGTGGAGGAGCCAACTGTGTGTTCAGGGGTGGGGGAAAGAAGAGGAGGCTGGCCGAACACATGGGGCTTAGATTTTATCCCGAGGCAGGGGTTGGCAAACTCTGTTTCATAAGGAGTAGATGTTAAGTATTCAGTCCCTGTTATATACTCTTTGTTGTGTGTGTGTTTTCTAATTATCCTTTAAAAAAATGTAAAACTGTTCTTCTATAGCTCGCAGTCCCCTGTGCAAAGGCAATGGGAAAGCCTTAAGGTATTTTAAGCAGGGCCATGGAGTATTCTGGTTCACGTTTTAGAAGCTCACTTTGGTTTTTCTGTAGAAAAAAATGTTAAGCAGAGCAAAAGTAAAGGGATCATTTTACTATAACCTGTCACAAAGTACCAGTGCTACCCCAGATAAGAAATGGCTCATCTAGAAGGAGCAAGCTCCCTGCTGTTGGGGGCCTTCAACAAGAGGCGACGTGAGCCCTTGGAAATGACACTGGGTAGGCAGCGCATCTGAGGGGTGCTCTGCCTAGGGTCCAGCTGACCCAGAAATTCTAGGATTCTCTACCTATTTCATCCATTCGCAAACCTCAAAGACAAAAAAAAAAAAAAGGCCACCCATAAAAAATGAGAAAAATATACTTAGTAAAAGAAAGTATTTGCCACAAAATACAAAGGAAATTCAGTGATATAAGTCATATTTCTTAGATGTGTGAGATTTGCTTGAGTCAGTCACCTGAGGTGAAATGCAGGTCCCTTGGGCACCTGGTGGCTCAGGTGGTTAAGTGCGTGACTCTTGGTTTCGGCTCAGGTCATGATTCCAGGGCTCAGGTCATGATTCCAGGGTCGTGAGACTGAGCCCCCAAGGGCTCCATGCTCAGCGTGGAGGCTGCTCGAGATTCTCTCGTTCCCCCTCCCTCTGCCCCGCCCCCGCCTGCATCTGCACTCTCTCTCAAAATAAATAAAATCTTAAAAAAAAAAAAATGCAGGTCCCTGGACCCCACCCAGACCTACTCAGGCAGACTCTAAGGTACAGCTAACAAGTCCCTGGGTGAGTTTTATGAATACTGAAGTCTGAGCTGCTCTTTTTTAGATTCTAGAAGCCTTAAAGTGAGCCTGTCACCTAATAAATATCTCCTGGACTGTGGGCTCCCAATTACCAATTAAGAGTTTAAGATGACATTTGGATATTCAATCAAACAATAGTAATAGTGCAATCCTATATATATTATTAACTATGCAGAGCAAATATCTGAAATGTTCATTGGTATGGATAATATATGCTTTAAAATGCATTTAATACATTTTTTTTAAAGATTTTATTTATTTATTTGAGAGAGAGAGAATGAGAGATAGAGAGCACGAGAGGGAAGAGGGTCAGAGGGAGAAGCAGACCCCCTGCTGAGCAGGGAGCCCAATGCGGGACTCGATCCCGGGACTCCAGGATCATGACCTGAGCCGAAGGCAGTCGCCTAACCAACTGAGCCACCCAGGCACCCCATTTTATAATCGTCTTTTTTCAAAACAATAAACATTACTTGCATAATGAAAATATCAACACACGGGTATGGAAAAAGTAACTGAAGTTCAATTAAACTTTGAACTTCAGTTACAGAATGTGTTTTTGCTGTCAGAAGTCAGGACAATGAGCAGGGAATTAAAGACTGTAAAGGGGCACAAGGAAGCTTCTAGAGGGTGCCGGGAATGCTCTGGAATGCTTCTGGGTGCTGTTTCCATGGTTGTGATCAGTTTATAAACTCTTCATGCTGTATATTTGGGATACATGTACTTTTCTCTATTGTTATACTTCAATAAAAATGTAAAAAAAACCACAAAACCCTACTGTTCTGGAACAATGGCTGGAAGGTAAACTGGACTCTAAATAAGCCTGACATTTTGTATCAAGAGCTGTGATATTTGTATCAAATATTCACAGCCGTGACCTAGCAATTCCACTAACAGGATTTATTTTAAGAAAACAATATAAAAGTGGTGCTCGGCTGGCTGAGTTGGTAGAGCATGCAACTCTTGATCTCAGGGTTGTGAGTTAAGAGCCCCATGCTGGGTGTGGAGATTACTTAAAAATAAAATCTTAAAAAAAAAAAAGTAAAGTATATACCCCCCCCCAAAAAAGCAAAGATGTACACTGCAGTGTTATTTATAATATGAAAGAAAAACAGAAATAAGCAGCACGTCCAAACCAGAGAACAGTAACTTAGAGTAAATCCACAATAATATGTCATTTCTTTTAAATATGTCTATTTCAGGGTCATATAAGGGCTAGAGATAATATGTAAAATTGTTAATAGTGATTATTTCTAGGGAGTGGAATTACAGAATGGGCGGGAGGCATTTTCACCTTTCTCATACAGCAAAATTATTTGCATTTTAAAAACAGCAAGTATGGATTACCTTTAATTAAAAAAAAATGCTTATGATTGCTTAACAGTATGATCACAACTATGTAAAAATACAACTGTCATGCATTAACAAAATGAGAAAATATAACAAAGTTTGGTGTTTATTATTTTGAGCTTAGGTTTCTTTTCCTAGCTTTTCCTCATTAACATTTTTCTAATTTTCTTTAATAAACATGCATTACTTTAATGAAATAGATATTTTAAAAGTTCCAGTTTTTAAAGTTTCTCCTTAATAAAATATATGTGTGGGGGGAGGGGCGGTGCCCTGATGGCCATGACTTCCCCAACAGCTGTGTGCTCTGCATCCTGTGTGTGGTGTGCGTCCTGTGTGGGCCATGGCAGCAGGTAAAGCACGAGGCTTTCACTTCCAGGATGGCATTTTTTCTACGGACGTTAAAAGCTGTAAGATACCATGCAACAGACTACCTTATTAGGATCTGGAATTTTAAGCTAAGTCACTACACAGTTTTAAGCATTCTGTAATAACCCATCAGGCCAAAATCATAATCAATCATCTTTCCAACACGTGAAGTTTAGAACCAGCAGTCAAGAAGCAGTACCAATACGATTTGGTTCGTCTGCCAAAAGAGCAATAAATGTCCTGGTTATTTACGCTCCTGTTCCCATTTCATGGTGTCTTCCAAACTGAGTGAATGGGACACTATACATACCCCAGTACTTCCCACTAAGAGGTCTCACACCCTATACACCTCATCCTTTTTGGTTAACCATGTCTGTCTTGACTTAGAATGAAATGTGAATAATTCTTGGGTTGGAACAAGTTGGGTTCCCCCCACCCCACTACAGGGATGTATAGTTCTCATTCCTTTAAAAGTTAAAGTTAGAAAATGTCTGTGAGGACCATTTAACTGATAAAGAAAACACAGAGTGAAAGAAGCTAATCGACCTGCCATGATGAAAATTTACTAAGGGGGCACCTGGGTGGCTCAGTCGTTAAGCGGCTGCCTTCGGCTCAGGTCATGATCCCAGGATCCTGGGATCGAGCCCCGCATCATGCTCCCTGCTCTGTGGAAAGCCTGCTTCTCCCTCTCCCACTCCCCCTGCTTGTGTTCCCTCTCTCGCTGTGTCTCTCTCTGTCAAATAAATAAATAAAATCTTTAAAAAAAAAAGAAAATTTATTAAGGTCACAGATGAGCCTAGAACTCAGGTCTCCTAAGAGCTCACCCCCTGTATTCCTCTGCCACACACTACAAAACCTTTTGCTACGAAATTAAAATGAGGTCACTCCTGGAACATATTTCCACAACAGAAAAATTCCACATGCAAAATCGCTGTTGTGTAGATAACTCCATAAATGTAAAAATGATTACTTCAAAATTATCAAAGGCTATTTACACACAGAGTATTTTGCTTTCTTCCATAAAAACCGCCAGCAAAACTTACTAAACTGTACAACCTTAAAAGACACTTGGGAAAACAAGACTCTTAAAACAAGGAAGGCTTCTAAAAGCAAAACCAATGGACAATAATTGAAAAGAAAAACAAGAGAAAGATGTAATTCTTTAGAGACAGCAACCACAGACACACAAATGCACAATGTATCACTGACTCTCCTGCCTATGAAGGAGAAAGGACCCCTGGTATCAGCTGTGGATCCAAATGTATTCTGTTTAGAGCAACTAAATGAAAACCTATTGATAATGGTTAACAGAGGAGTTTACATGAGCTTGTGAAAGACAAATCCCAAATCGGAGTGTGGTCTTAGGTCTCATTTCCCAAACTGGCTAACTCTCTGATCCTACTCTATCTCCTCCAACTAGAACCCAGAGATCTCTGTATACAAATGCTGCCTAACTAAATGCAATAATAGTCAATCACCACACGGTGCTTTAAAAAAAAAAATCAAGTTGGCATCATTACTACCTCCTTCTCTTCTTACAGGACTTCAATTAGAATTTATCAAAATGAGATCAGCAAAAGCTCAGTTACGTACTGTTAACCTACAACTAGCAAACGATAACAGCTTCCCAAAAAGGGGTCATAATTAAAACAATAATGATTAAAAACTCTACAATACTCAGTTGGATTATACAGTTGAGTATGCTTTAGACTTCAATTCTAGAAGGACTGCAACACTATATATGAAATATGGACTTGATTTAGAATACTTCTTTTAGGTGCGCCTGGGTGGCTCAGTTGGTTAAGCATCTGCGTTGGGCTCAGGTCATGATCCCACAGTCCCAAGATCGAGCCCTGCATCGGGTTCCCCCACTCAGTGGGGAGTCTGCTTCTCCTTCTGACCTTCCTCTTGTGCTCTCTCTCTCAAATAAATAAAATCTTAAAAAAAAAACCAAAAAACTTCTTTCAAAGAATGTACTTTAAAAACCTCTTCAAGTATTAGAAAATGATCTTTGGTTTCTACTTGCAATTATACCAACTAACTTAACTTTCAGTATATTTACCTCTGAATTTCAATTTGCAAAATTTACAAGTACTATCTTGCAAAAAGAAGAAACACAATGATTGAGTTCAGGAATTTATGCTTCACTGCCAGGCACTATTTAAATACCAGCCTCTACAGCACTGTCTTTCAGAAAATCTATTACAAAAAATAAAAAAGCAAACTATATTTATAAAATAAATAATTGGGGACTTACCTTCTCGGAATAAGGGGCTTTCTTGTCAGAATAACATTGTGAACTGGCTAGAAATTAGGAGTGTCTAATACAAATGCTCAGTGTATATAGATGGTGTACCTAGGTCCCAAAACATTACTGGCCCATTAAAGTATGGGCTTATTTAACAATAATTTATACACACACACACACACACACACACACAGAAAGGCAACTAATGAATAAAAGACGACACAAGAATTAAAGTTCAGTGATAACCTACCATTTGAAATAATTTCAAAAGGAAATCACATGACATAAAGTCTTTGGCAAACACATACCAAGGTTCCTGCCTGAGATGACTCCTAAAAAGCCATATGTTAGCGCTGGTATGATCCCAAGTTTCTTTATTCAAGGAAGCTGCTTTCTAGTACATATGTTAAAGACAGCTGGTTCTCTTACATCTAGTTATGCTAATCAAATGGCTTAGCCATATAGTTTCAAAATACAAACATATCTCAAGGAGACAGATTTGTCTTAAATGATATTTTCTCCTAGTTTTTTTTTTTTTTTTTTTAACAATAAGTTATTAGCTATATCATTTGAGACTAGAGATTTGTTCACTTGGATCGGTGTTTTGCACTCTGATGGATGCTGCTCTGGACAGCTCCCGAAAGGCTGTCAAGCAGTTGTATATGGAAATGTCAGTAACATGGGTTGCAAAAGTTCCAGAAGCAATTCAGATGGTAGAAGAGGCCGCTATCCAAACCCGGTAAGAGTCACTCTTCACAATGCAAAGTGATTACCAATCAATCAAGAAACCAAATGTTTTCTACAATAGTAATTCTTCCTTTTGTCCAAAAATACAGTATACCGAGAAATAAAGAGGCAAAAAGATAACTGGTTTGGAGAAACAAAAGCTATGGACAAGGAACCTCCCCAAAGCCGGTCATCTACTCTCATTTTTGCTTTAAGAAGTAAGCTAGACAATATTACAAACAGATTTCTTTATTTGAATCAGAGAAATTAGGAAGAAAACTGGCATTTAATTCATACTAAAAAGTGGTTTCAGAGTTGACCTATTAGTTTACAATTAAGAAAAAGAGTTCTGAGAAGTGTGGCTATTTCTTGCAAAAATAACACAATAAGACCATATTCCTTACCCTGACAACTTGCCGAGTACTTGTGATGAAGGTTTTTCTTATACTCAATTCAGTTGCATCGAGGTTGAATTTTCTAGGGTTTGCTTCAACTATGCGTGGGTCATAAAGTCAAGGGAAAGCAATTTCATCATTAAAAACCTAACAAACATCATCACGTTAAACCACAAAATCTCTCACAGGTAAGCAATAAGATCTGGCTTGATGTTTCTTAAAACACTGTCAACTTGACAAACATCATTCTCAAACTTTCTCTTCCTACAGCTATGAGGATATCTGTGCCTCCGAGTGGAGAAGACCCACCAGGTTAAGAAACACAGCCCCTGCTGACTGGGTTCACTACAAATCCATGGCAGGCTGACCACAGCTGAGCTGGGCTCTTTCAGATGCCTGCCAGCACTCCGTTTACTCGTTTCTGACTTCAGATCATCTTTCCCATGACAACTTTGCAAGCCTTTTTCATCTGCTATTCCAAACCATTCCATATATCCCAAGAAGCTAATCCTGCTTATTAATCTAGAGGTTGAGGCTTCTTCGAAGTTTCCCCTGATCTCCTTATTCCCAGCCTGGTCCTGCTGCCCCATGTCAGACACTCGCATGGCTCTCTGGTCTCTTCTCTTACAGTCTGCAAATACATAGTGTTGTTATTTGATTAATGTCTGTTCCCCTGTCCCCTGAGCCCCTCACTACTCCCCACCATAAATTCCATGAGGGCTGGTATCCTGTTTTGCTTTATCAATCCAATCTCAGTAACTAACAAAATATCCAGCACATTACTCAAAAATGTCACTCAATGATTAATCACTATTAACAATTTTACATATTATCTCTAGCCCTTATATGACCCCGAAATAGACATATTTAAAAGAAATGACATATTATTCTGGATTTACTCTAAGTTACTGTTCTCTGGTTTGGACGTGCTGCTTATTTCTGTTTTTCTTTCATATTATAAATAACACTGCAGTGTACATCTTTGCTTTTTGGGGGGTATATATTTTACTTTTTAAGATTTTATTTTTAAGTAATGTCACTCAATGATTATTTGCCGAATGAATGATGAATACAAAGGCATACCTTGTTTTATTGTGCTTTGTTTTACTGCACTTAGCAGACACTGTGTTTTACAAATTGAAGGCTTCTCACAACCCTGTGTCGAGCAAGTCTATGGGCACCATTTTTCCAATAGCATCTGCTCACTTCATGTCTCTGTCACATTTTGGTAATTCTTAAAATATTTCAAGCTTTTTCATTATTATATTTGTTATGGTGATCCATGATTGTGACTCACTGGAAGCTGAGATGATGACTAGACTTTTTTAGCAATAAAGTGTTTTTTTAAAGATTTTATTTTTAAGTAATCTCTACACCCAACGTGGGGTTTGAACTTACAACCCTGAGATCAAGAGTAACATGCTCTACTGACTCAGCCAGCCAGGTGTCCCAGCAATAAAGTATTTTTAAATTAAGGTATATACATTGTTTTTAGACAAAATACTACTGCACACTTGGGCACCTGGGTGGCTCAGATGGTTAAGCGTCTGCCTTCAGCTCAGGTCATGATCCCAGGGTCCTGGGATCGAGTCCCGCATCGGGCTCCCTGCT